CCTCTCCCTCTCCCTCTCCCTCTCTGCCATACACACTCGCTCTAGATTTTTTAAACTAAAAGAAAAAACACAAAAATTTTTTTAAAAACCCACAAAATTGGAAACTATAATATATAAGCAAAAGACCAGTATGGCGAAAAAAAAAAAAGCAAAAAACCAAGTGGTATGAAGATGACAGTCTATAAGAGTATCATTGAATTCACTTTGTAGTGGCCATCTTCTGCTGGGCATGGGGCCTGCCCTTGGGTGTGGCTAATCTCCCTAATGAGAGTTCATTGGAGAAAACAGTATTTCCTTTGCAAGTGAATGTAAAGGGAGGCAGCTTATTGCTTCTTTCTTCTGTCTCTAGAATAAGAAGCTCACTTTTCTGCCTGCATCACCTCAGTAGCATCGTGTTAGTAACATCCATACTTACACCTGCTGGAAGGAGGACTTGGTCCCAGCTCACCTAGGGTGCAAACAAACAAACCACTATTTGATATCCCCAATTAAATGCCTCAGTTTAAAGTTCTAACTTAATTCAGAGTTCACTCAAAGAGATTTTCCAGGTTTGATATAAGCTTCTTACAAGGTAGAGGAAGTGCAACTTTAGTTGGCAAAAAGGAATTTTAATACAGTCAAGCAAATTTCCCCCTAAGGAGAATTATTAAATTTCACAGTCCATTCATCTGTAAAACCCCCTCTCTGCATAATTTAAAACATTTGATGTTCTCCTTAATTTGTAATAGGTTAGGTATGGTATTGGCTGAGCCAAATAGAAAGAGGCGAGCAGAATCATTTATCAAAAAAGAAGAAACGTTAAGTAGCTTCCCCAAGACTGTTCAAACATCTTTACCTTTTATTTTGTTTATTCAATCATAAACAACAGAAGATTTGGGGTTGTTGTTGGGTTTTCAAAACATGAACACTCTATGTACATCACTCCCACTGTTCCATCTACTGTCAAGCTCCTCATTTGTCCCATGTCCTCAAATTCATGGTCTCCTTAATGTTATTGTTACATGTGTATACATATGTGTACATCTATATGTGACTATGACCATTTAGGATTGGA